CCACTGGGCTGAATGAGGACCCCTGCCTGTCCCCACAGCTAGGTGGGGGAGACGGACCCCCCTACTAAGCCACACTGGGGCCATAACATCATAAGGCTTGTGAACCCCAGTGCAGCTTCCTAGACAGGACCTGGAAACTCTAGTCCCACGGGGAAGGTTCAGGGTGACTGAGATGGGACTGAGGGTGGTTAACCAGCTGCTGAGGACAGAGGCACCAGTGGTCCCGGGGCCCTGAGTTCAAGGTCTCTGGGTCCTGACATGCATGTGTCTGCATAAGGCCCGCCCACCCTGATACTCCAGCACTGAGAACTACGGAGCCCCTCCCATCCAAGCCCAAGATTGGCCTCCAAAGAGGTGAGGGCCACCCTACCAGAGAGAGCCAATCAGGAGTGACAGCAAGGTGGCCATGGAGGGTCACCAAACCCCAGCAGCATCTGAAACACTTTTTGACGGGAATAATCAGAATCTGTAGGCTCTGAGCAGTGCCCACTCTGCAGGGGGTTGGCAGGGCCACTCATTCTCCCTGGCTCCTTCACCCAGCTGAACTGCAAAGAGGCAAAGTGTGCAGTCCCTGGGCCTTCCACACAGCCACAGCAATGCTACAAATGAGGCAAGATCCAGACTTGGGTTTGCAGTAAATCCTATACCCCCGCCCCCCGCCGCCTTCCTCCCTCGCAGATTTTAATTAAGGGTTTCCTTGCAGAAGAGCGAGCTCTATTTAACTAAATCCTTGGCCCCCTTTTATATTGTCTTCCCTATCGTTCTATGCCAGGGCGCCAGGAAAAGTTAATTATAACTTCTAAACACTCCATTAAGGGTCCCCCACCCCCACCCCATCGCCCTCCTCTGCCCGAGGCCATGCGACTGAATCAACCGCCCTTCACAGACCTCACTCTGCTGGGCCGAGCTAGCCTGATCTCCATCTCCAGCCCTTTCAGAGGCTCACGGGAGCCCACAGGAGAGCCAGCACCACAGGCACTCAGCGCGGTGACACTGGTGAGTGGAGAAGCCAAGCAGGCTGCAAGGACAAACATCTGGGCCCGGATAGGCAGATATCAGCCACTAGTCAGTCACATGGCAAGATGTAGCTTGGTCCACAGTGCATGGGGGTGGGGCAGAGCTGCAAAAGGGGAGAGCAAGCCTGAAAGCCTAATGGCACCTGTGGGGAGGGGGAGGATCCGAGCTGTCTGCTGGCCCTGCAGAATAATTCCCAGAGTTATCCCACTGGTCTGTGTGGGAATAAAAGCTGGGGCACTCACTGTCTGCCGTTAAGGTGGTTGAGGGGAAGGAATGGAGGGGACAACCCTTCGTGGACCAGGACAGGACACAAAGGAAGTGACGGAGAAGGAGGCGGCTCAGAGGCCAGGGAGGAGAACTGTGCAAAGACTAGAGGCAGGGATGGGAAGGAGTGAGCTTCCTTCAGCCTCCTGACCACCCTGGGGCATGCAGGGACAGATACCTGAAGCTGGAAACGCAGTGAAGGCCATATAGACTGTGTATCCCAGCCAGGAGCCAGGAGGCAATCCTGGGCAGGCCAACAAAGAGCAGACGTCTTCCCAAATGCTCTGCCATCTATCATTTGGCAGCAGCAAAATCCGGCCTGGTGTCCTCACCCAGGGAACCCTTAATCAACCAGCCCTGGGGGTGGGGGCCAAGTCTGGGCTGCCTGGTGACGGCATTATTGCCTGAGGAGGAGGAGGAAGAAGGAAGTTCCTTGGCTCCATTCAGCAAGTATCACGTTTTTCCTTTTAACTCTGAGAACTTGGAGGATGTGCCCTCAGCCATTTCTTAACTGGGACAGTCACAGGAGAAACAGGGGGTGATGCTGCAGCTTCCACCTTTACCCCTCCAAGGACCCAGATGGACGTCTGTAATAATGACAACACACACATGCCTGAATTCTGACAGCAGCTCAGAGGCAGCATGGGATGGGCTGCTCAACCCTGGGCAGGTCTCACTGTCTCGCTGAGAGTCTGCGCTAGCTTTTAAATCTCCTGTCTGTTGGGAACCAGCCTGGATAGAAACTTCACTTCTATCCCTGAAACAAGCAGGAAGAAAGGCTCGTGGATGCCTTGGGACGACTGAAGAGCCAAGTGGGACTCTCTTACGCTGCCCCCCCGTCCCGTCCTGGACAGATATGCAACACCAGTCACCAAGGGGACCAGGTCTGAGAGCCAGGGGCTCTGTCGTTATCTGCACACGCTTCCCTTAAGGAACTAGAAGAAAGCAAGGCCATGACAAAGGATATGATTCTCCTGACCCAGACATCCATTCTGGAACCTTCTGGGGTAGCTGCCCATGATGCCACCACTTTGACTCTGCCACCCACATCTGCCTTTGGGAAGTCATGGAGCCCCTCCCCCCCTCCCGTTAAACCCTAGAGCCTCCATCACACTCAGGGCCAGCACCATTTCCTAACCAGCCCTCTTCACACCCTGTGTCACCTCGGGGCCTACAGCAGCCACGCCCTCTGCCTCATACTCCTCCCCAGCTCTGCATGCTCTACCCTGTGTCACCCTCTGGCCTGGTCCAAGGTTGTCCATTGCGGGGTGTCCCATAACCGCCCAGCCCAAGGCCTGCACTACCACACCCCCAGGACATGAGTCAAAAGAGCGTTTTCTCCTGGTCTGTTCTCTGTCTCTGGAGACGGCTGACGGCTGCGATCTCATGTCCACACTCAGAAGTAGAGAGGTAAACATGCATTCACAGCCAGCCCACCTCATCACAAGTCACTCCTCCCAGCCCCCGCTCCTTTCCAGAGGGAACCCGGATATGGAATGCCGGTTCACAGAAGCAACCGTGACACGCACTCCACACTCTACAGTACACAAAGCTTAACTGTTCCTCCCATGCCAACCTCTGATCTGTCTTTGGAGGTGGACACGGTAGCGGTGCCTGGCCACCATGCAGAATGGGGTAACTGAGGTCCAGAACTCCAACTGCCACTGTCACCTGCTCAGGAAGCAAACCCGGGGTGTTAGCACCAGACAGTGAAGCAGGAGATGCAACTAAGAGCCCACCCAAGAGTCCTACTGCCTGAGTTTGAATCCCAGCTCTGCCACACACTGGCTGTGTGGCCTTGGGCAAGTTGCTTTGCTTCTCTGGACCTTGATTTTCTACTCTGTAAAATGAAGCTAACAATAGGTGCTCCCTCGTGTCATCAGGACCGAAGAGGGTGATTCTACACAGGAGACCACAGAATAGATACTTAGGAAATACACACTGTATCCACAATGCATTCTATACACACACACAGACACACACACACACACACAGACACACACACACACACACACACACACACAAGGAGCCTCTCTTCTCCCAGCAGGAGTTGTATACTCTAGCAACCAATAACATTTCCACCAAGTGGCTGGTTCTTAGGCCTGGATCAAGAATACAGAAGGCAGCTCCCAGCTCTGCAGCCTGCAGTTCAGCCTACCCTATGACATCCCTGACCTCTCCAAAGACTTCAAGGGAGCCAGGAAGAGAGGCCTGTGGGAGGAAGCCTTCAGGGTTCCATGCTCTGCCCCAAACCATCTGGCCACACCCTGTGCTGACTCTCGACTCCAAGCCAAGTTTCCCTTGAAGACTTCCCTTCCCTGGAAAAAGCCACAGCCCATACCCATGCCATGGTCCCTTGGTTTTCCAGGCCCACAGACCACTCAGTTCAAAAATTTGAGCCATACTTCAGGGTCCATGAATTCTCATCTGTCAAAAGAGAATGCACAAAGAAACATCTCTCCAAAGTTATGGCCACAATCTCACCACGGCATAGTAGAAAAGAACCAGCCATGCCAGGCTTGGCACACAGTAGGTATCTGGCCTGTGGTGACCCTGACCCAGCCAGAGGGAAACTCTCGTCTTTCATCACTCATAGCAGAAGAGACAAAGAGCCACCCTGGACACAGAGGACCCCGAAGGAAGCAGCCCAGAGAACGGCCAGGGAGGCACCTGGCTGTCACTGGCCTTGGCCACACACTTCCCTACCCTCGCTTTCACACGTTCTAGCCCAAATGAGCCTGGATTAAAATTCCCCATTTGAAAAATCAATATTTAAAGTGCCAAGCCTGCCAAGTGGAAGCAAAGGCTTGCTTGTAAATATTTGTCTCCACAGGCAGAGCCAGGCCTCTCACTGTCTACAGCTCCCCGCTTCATGGCTGGTCCCCTGCTCCAGGCAGCTGCACATGGCTCACCCAGAGGCTGCAAAGGACCTGACGGTCTGGCAGCCATGGCCACTGGGGAGCTTCCCGTGGGCGGGATCCACATACCTGCTTTTCCTCTCCCGAACAGCAGGCCTGTGCCCCAGGCTACCCAGGAGCCATCCATCTGTCCACTCCTCCCCAAGGTGGAGACAGAACCACCTCGTTGTGACTTTTCCACAGACTCCCAAACATGCAAGGTGTATGCTGGGGGGGGGGACCCTGCTAGTTCATATCTTTGGAAGACGAAAAGCGCCAGGGCAAAGCCCTACCCATTACTTTGTGGGGTCAGGCCCTGTCATCTGCGCCAACTGATGCCCATGGGATGGACCACCCCAGGTTCCTGTGACCCCCAAGGGGCCATAGAACAGAGGGGTCTCCTCACTGGAGGCTGAGCCATGAGCACACGATTAGAGGCATCACTGTTCTCAGAAAGTCATTCTTCATGCACCAACTCAGCTATTCATTCATTCATTCATTCATTCACCGGTGGCTTTTTTGCTAGCACCTACGCCAGACACTCAAGGCTGAACGCATGGGCGGACCTTACGCTTGTGAGCCAAGTCCCTTTAGGAGGGTCTCCAATACTAAAGACTCTGACAAACAAATGGGAAGTCACAGCCCAGGGTAGGATGGGAGAGAGGTACAAGTCTGAGAGGCCAGGGAAGGCTCCCCAAGGTGGTAGACAGGACACAGGCCCGGGAAACACAGGGCAAGGCAGGGATGACGACTATCGGGAGAGGGCAGCTCTGGGTGCCACGTCCTCCCAAGGGCCACGTGTGGCCAGTGCACAGGACCTACCCAGCCATTCATTGAACTTCTTCACCTCACTCGGGAGCCCCAGCTCCGTGAAGTCTCCGGCATGGATCAGCACATCACCATAGGGCATCTGGATGGGGTCTGTCCTTGAGTGCGTGTCAGAAACACAGACAAAGCGTGTGTAGCCAGGTGGCTTTGGGGCGTCGTGAGGCACGGGGTCCACCCTGCAAGGAGATAAGATGCTGTGGATTACAGGGGGGGTCACAAAGCCATGATCCTGTGGGGTGACGGGTCTCCAAAACACAGCCAGTCCACCCTACCAGCCACACCAACTCAAATAGTGTCCATCTGAACATGAGCCAAATGACCAGACGTCTGGACGGTCTAGCAGAATGTTCTTGTTTCCTGTGCCTCCGTTTCCCCTCTGTCTCATGGTGTAAGGGTCATCTTTGTTATCAACCTGGGAGTTTGTGAAACCCTTCCCTAAAGGTTTTCCCTTGAAAGTAGGGGACACCATTGGAGTCGTAAGAGCTGAGCACCAGCTGAGGTGGCCCTGCCACCAGGCCTTCCAAGCCATGGCAGACTGCACTCTCCAACCAGGGGTCAAAATGAATCCTTTCTTTTGCTTTGTCTGGGTTTTTTGTTTCTGTTGTTGTTGTTTTGGTCACAGCAATGTGGGACCTCGGAGAGCCTCTGTAAGTGCCAGATCCCATGCCCACGTGCAGCGCCTGCAATTAGAGCCCAGCTGTTCTGGACTAACGGAACATTTCCTAGCTCGCTATCACTGCTGAGTTCAACATCACAGAAGCACTCCATCTCCCGCGCTAGCTGTCTGTGCTTTGTCTGGAAGGCACATATTTTTTTTTCAACTTCTCAAAACCAGCTTTCACCCCTGGGGGGCACTATTGCCCCGCTGACGTTAAATGGCCTGAAATCCCTGGTCCATTCAAGAGAACTGGCCCTGAGCTCAGCATTCAGCACAAAGAATGTAGAAGCCCCATTGCCAAGGGAAACAGCACGGGAGGGGCCCCAAAAGACAGGTGAGTTCCGGGTACTAAGACAGTGTGGTCATTTTGACACCAAGAGCCTTCTGGGATTGTGGAAAGCAACTCCCCTGTAGTCAAAACGCCAGGTCCCTGAGCCCAGCTCTGCCACTGTCATTTAGACACAAGCAGAAGCCATGGCCTGGGTTTTCACCTCCCAGGACAAGAACAGTCCAGAAACTAAAAGAATATTGCTAAATAAGCTCTATCCCTGTTCCCAGGAGCCCTCTCAGCTGGCTGAGGACCCACCACCATCGGCCCCCAATCCAGTGTTCTTCGCAGACCGTACCACATCCCCAACTAAATGACTTCACCAGGCTTACAACGCTTAAAAACAACGCAATGACATTTCAACAAGCAGCCCTCTCCAAACTGCTGCTAGAGGAGTCGTGTTCAAATCTAATTATGCGTCAAACCAAAAGCAGTACCATATCAGTTACATAAATACTTTTAAAGACATCTTTCTAATTATCCTTTTTTTCAGACAATATACTTCGAAGAAATTTAATTAACACCTTATGAGAGACATGGGTTCAGCATGCTAATGTACACGATGCCTCCTCATGCTGGATCTGCAGCAGGTGGAGGCGCCACACCAGCCTCTCCTCCATCTCTGAGGCACCACATGGTGGGGAGCACCCTTGATCCCCCTTTGGGGGTTGTTAAGCCAAGACAGAACCTTGGCATCTTGGAGCTAGGCTGACTGGAAAGATGGAGAAACTTGCTAACTGAGTCCAATGATGGGCAGCCAGGAAGGTGCTGGGCTCTCATCTCTCTCCATCCACCCATTCCATGTTAGCACAAGTACTGAGTACTAATTGGTACCAGCCTATGAGACCAGTGAGGGCCAGAGGGATGAGCAAGCTAGGGCCCCACCCACCAGGAGTCCATAGAGTGCAGGCAGCTACAGATTCGACTAGACTTCAAACCTGCAGCCCCCAGTTGTAACAGAGCAATGGAAGGGCTGAAAACCAGAGAGGGAGGGCCCTAACCCACTCTGGGTTCCTGGAAGCTTCCAGAAGGAGGCAGTGCATGAACAGATCCTGAAGGCAACTCTCCCTGCAATTCTCACCTTTCCTATGTCCTCTGGAACTCCCAGCACCTCCTCTCCAATGCAATTTAACAGGGGAGGCACAGGGTGACGGGGGGGGGGGGATCCCCCACCTGTGCTCTCTGCCTATCCTGACAGTGCTGACAGGATCACAAGCAGCCAATGGTGCTGGACTACCTACCAGGGCACACAGGAACTCAGACAAACCAAACAAATCCATGTGCTCTGCCACCCATCACACACACACACACACACACACACACACACACACCTTACAAATGTCATAATGTTACAAAGGCTAAGTCAAAGAGATCGGGAGAAAGGGAAGGGGGAAGGCTGGGAGTGTGGTGGAATCAGCAGTCTCTCCTTAAGAGGAGACCTGGCCACCAGGCAGCCGAGGGCTCTCATCAACATCATCGGGTTGTGGGAGCCCAAGCTCTTTAATTAACTTTACCTTATTTCCCTGCACCCCGAGGCTTCTAAGCACAGTGAAGATAGAAGCCTAGAGATCCCCAGAGAGCAAGTGAGCTGAAGTCTCCTTTCCCGAGCTCAGCTCTGCGGCGAAGCTGTTTGCCCAACCTTGCAGAAAAAGAGAGCAAGCTTCACTCCGGTGTCTGGGAACTCAGCGTGTCCCCGAATTTGCTCTCCTCCCCTCCTGCTAACCCTCTGCACCAGATCCCACCAGCATCTCTACTTTACAGGTGACTAAAGGCTATAAAAGGGGCCCAGGGGAGGAGGAGGCTGTTTCACTCACAGTTTCATCCACGGAAGCTGACTTCAGGGGGCTAGGAAGATCACTCAGTGAGTAAAATGCCGTCACTCTGTCCCCAAAAGCCATCCTGGACAGCAACATGCCTGGTGTCAAACACCCACACAGGCCTCATAAGAGATGTGCTGTCCCTCAGTTACCCCAGGGAAAGAGGATGCTTTGAAGTCTGAGGTTCCTGCCACACAGGCAGCTGTGGGTCTGGGCATCGGCCATGTTGTTTGAGAATTCTGCAAAGGAGACTGAAGGCCAGGACGGGCAGCAAGAGGTCAGATCCATAGAACACAACTGCCCTGACACTCTCTGTGCTCTGGTGCTCCAGGAAGGGCAGATTCAAGGTGACCTGGCCACCCTGCCCATGCACACCCCTTGGCCTGTGCTTCCCGCTGCCTCCCAGTCTTCAGCTAGCTGGTCCTTCCAGCTGGGATGGCCCACTCCGCTTCCCTCAAACGCTGCAGCACCTCTGAGGCCCCAACCCCCCTGCATCCCCAGGGCTCTTCCTGGCCTCATCACCTTCCTGTCTCCCTCTTTTCATTTGCTGTACTAGGGCCCAGGCCCAGGCAGGGGTGCAGGGGTGCCTAGGAGCCAAGCCCCCCTCAGAAAGAGCATCTACAGCTGGGACAGGGCCAGATTTATGACCGGTAGGAGTTGGAGGCTTTCCTAAAGAGTGACACAGGAAGGATGTCTATAGAGCACACAGAGTCGGGAGCTAGAGAAGCCACAGAAATAGCCTGTGCAAAGATCTGAGGCTGGGGCTGAGGAGTTAGCTCAGTCAGGAAAGCACTGGCCCGGGGAGCAGAGGGACCCCTGAGTTCAGTCCCTAGAACCTGAGCAGAAACTGGACAGACATGCATGCCTGCAACCCAGCGCTGGTAAGGTGGAGACAGGAGGCTGAGCCTGAGCAGTAAGATTCAGGTCTCCAAATTAAGGTGGACAGCTCCTGAGGGGCTACACCTCTGACCTCCATGAGTACACACACACACACACACACACACACACACACACACACACACCATACTCACACTTACACAGCACACACACAACACATACAGCACACACATGCACACATGTGCAAACACACTCATACACACATGCAAAGGAGTACATGCACACACATGCAAATGAACACACACATGCACATACAACATACACTCACATACATGTACAAACACACTCACACGAATGTACACACGTGTGCATGTGCACACATGTGCAAACATGCAAACACAGAGACATACACATACCATACACTCACACACATACACCACATACTATGTGCACACAAACGAACACACCACACTCATGCACACACATGCATACACATGGACACACAAACAAACACACATAATATCTGGAAGGTTTGGGAAAACAGAAGCAGCTGCTATGTTTGTTGTCCAGGAACGCAGTTACGTGGCTGAGTCCACTCCTGCTTAGTCTCATCCTCTTAGCTAGTGGCTGAGCCCACTGCCCAGAGTCAAACGGGTGTCCTAGCTCCATATGCTTCCCTTCTAAAACCTTAGTTTCTCCCTCTGAAAAGAGGGATCAGGTGTCACCCCAGCCAATTGCCAGGGATGGGACCAGAAGATTCCTCTAAGCCTAGCCCTGCTGTTCCTGTCCCTACATTCTCCAGCACCTTGAACCACCTGAGGGGGGGGGGTCTGGACCATGTCTTCAGTGACCCAAAGAGGGCAAAGGAAAGAGTCACTTGCTTAACACGAAATGTGCTCCCCTCCCCAGATACCTTCATGGCAGACTTCAGTAACCCTGTCCCTCCCTCTCATTGTCCACTGTCACACCTGCATGCCCAGGGTCTTGATGCCTGGAGGACTCTCTCCTGGGATTTCTCAGCCCCGGGGCTCACAGATGGAGGCCCCAGTTGCAGACAGTCATTACTCAGGCAAAGGCTGACAAGTTACCAGCAGGGTCTCAGGGGCACCTGAGTAAATCACACAGCTCAATCAGAGGCCATGTTGAACTGTCACTGTTATTATTAAATATAAATTGTGGGTTATTAAATAGGACCTCCCTCACTCCCTCATCCTAGAGACAAAGCCTGTGGCAGTGATAAATCACTAAGCTGGGAGCAGCGGCCACCCTGTACACCTCTCTCCGAGGCAGAGTGGCTACTTGTGAAGGAAATCCCCTACATCCTGCAGGCCTCCTCCAGCTCGGATCTGGAGTCTAAATGGAAGGGACAGAAGGCAGCGGCCCCAGGGTCCTGCACCTACTAAATGTAATGTTGAATTTCAAACTTGCCCTTGTATTCTTTCCTAAGCCAGATCCAATGGCCACTCAACCCCATTGCTAATGGAAGCCAGACCCTCGCTGACTGGAGAGGCACTCCACAGAGCAGGCCAAAGGGGAGAGGTCCAGACCAGGGAGACACCAGCCAGACAAACAATGAGAAGGCTGCCATGCTTTTTCTCCATGGTTTTTGCTACTGCAAGTGTCACGCACTGACATGCTCTTACAGCCTGCTGCCACCAGTGAGAGCCCAGTGCGAGCAGGCTCCTGCCTCTGATCACTTCGAGCCTAAGCTCCACACCCAGGCCTGGTTCATGCTATGATGAACACCAGCCATTCACACAACTCCACTGTGTGGAGACTTCTCTGTCACACCCTCTGTCTCACTGTAAATCACTTTGCTGTTGGAGAAACTGAGGCATCAAGTAGCGTAAGCCCCACCCAGATAGGCCAGCCCAGGACCCATGTTTCTAACCAACATGCTGCCTAGCTGTTCCCAAGGAACATGAATGAATGAGAGAGAGAGAGAGAGAGAGAGAGAGAGAGAGAGAGAGAGAGAGAGAGAGAGAGAGAGAGAGAGAGAAGGACTGGCCTCCATTGTTCCCTGGTTAAATGGGAACAGCCTCTCTCTCGCTCATTCACTTTCTGCCCTTTCCAGGGACATGGTCTGTCCCCAGGGCCTGTAACCAGCCTCTCCTACACAGGCCCTCCACCCAGGCACCTCTGAGATTCTCAGATACCCTCTCCCGTCCCAGCCCTGTGTGGGCTCCACCCTTCTACTCCTTCTGCCCAGCCTAGGGAACCCTAACACCCCTTACCAATCACCCCCATATCCTTAAGATCTCAACTAGAATTCACCTTATCCAGAAGGTCATTCCCAGACACCCCAGAGTCGATGGAACCTCCTCAGCTCTCCCCTCCCATCATCTTGTCTACATGGTTTTTTTTCTCAGGCTAGGGTCTCCATGAGTCTACCAACCCAATCACATTCCACAGTATCCCCAAAAAGCAACATCTCAGAGGCCAACTCAAAGATGGGTGTGCATACAAATGCAGACACGCATTAGTCTCACTGCTCTGTCTGAGGGCCTGGGGCTCTCCCACATTGCCACTGGGCAGGACCAACTCCAGCATCAGGGACCTCAGTATCATCATCTCCAATGCCACCAACACAAAAGAAAACCTTAGCAGGGCAAGACAGGCCTCTGCCTACAGCATCCCTGCCAGGATACTAGGTGCCAAAGACCAAGAAGAGATGTGCCCTCAACGGCACATTCAGACTACCTAAATCTCCAGTCCGGTTCCCAAATTAAAAAGTAAATAAAAATAAATTTAAAAAGAAAGAGGCAATGCTCAGCTAGATATCCACCAAAAACTACACCTTCTGACCATGTGGGATGAAGCTTCCACAGGAAGGGACATTGTTCCAGCAAGTGCTGCTGGGAAAATAGGCACGCCCACATTGGAAACCACCACCCCCCCAACCACACAACTGCCACAGTCAATGCTTTCCTTCCAATGAATTATCTCCTCCGAAGATCATTTAACAGAGCAAGGGGCTGAAGGAAGCCACACAGGAAGGAGTAGCCACACACGATTCCGCCACGCCACCGTGCTGCCCGCTAAGATTGTACGTTGTTCCTGAGTGACAGCTGCTGGGACCTCATGAGCCCACTCACTGCTCAGAAGTAGAGCTCCAGCCCCTCGAGGAAGCTCAGTGTCTGCAGCCCCAGGGATAATCTAATGCTCTTGAGAGGGGCTTCTAGCAACCCCACAGCACTGGGTCACACTGGCCATAGCCACTACCTATTTGTTCTGTCAGTAGGGAGTCATCAGTTTCTTCCCTCTGTGCGGGATCAAGACGACCCTAACCCAGTATCCTGTACAAGAAGGCGCATGAGACACTATCAAAGTGTCTAGGCAAATCTGAGAGGAGGTGGTACAGAACCCCCAGACCTCCTCCGTAGAACATCCCAGAGGCATGGGGTCAAACAATAGGAGAGGAAACAAGTCATCCAGGATGGGGTCCTAACCTACTATTGGGCCTACAGCAGGACCCTTTCCCTGTCTGTGACTCGGTCTCCCTGGTAAAGTCATATCCCAAGCACAGCTGAAACTCAGCTCCTAGACATTCCCCGAGAATAAGTGTGCCTGCGGTTGCAAAACTTCTGGTTCCATCATCAAGTCTTGGACCTCTCTATGCAATCAACTCATTTTCAAACACTTTGGAAGCATTCACCAAGTCCAATAAAATGGAATGAAGAGCCAGCTTGGGTCCCTGGGACCACAAGTTTGGTGCTTGGGTCCTCCCAACTTCAACCCAAGTGCAGCACAGAGTGGTTTTGGTCCATGAGCCCCTGGGATAGGTGTTTATGGACATACCAGAAGCCAGGAGGTACCCAAGTCCCTATACTGGCCCGGACCCTGGGCATTAGCACTTACATTTGCACGTGCGGTGGCTGAAAGCGGCCCTGGTTGATATTGTAGAAGGTGAAGGCCTGGGTGGGGTTGGAGCTGTATTCGTCCACCTCGATGATGAGTCGGCCATGCTGGTGTCGCCTCGCGGCCATCACGTGTGACTGAGAAAATGCCATGCCCAGGCCGCAGGGAAGCAGGGCCAGGGCCTCGGCCTTCAGGATGCCAGGATCCCACCTAGGGCGCCACATGGACCTCCGTGGGCCACCCGGGCATCTCCCACCGACACCACTGCTGCCGGGTCCCCCGCCAGACCTGCAAACAGACTGAAGAGACGGAGCAGAACCATGTAACAGTTAATCTGTTTGGGATTTGTTTTATTTAATGTCAGATGAAGATTTAGAAAGAGGGGAAGGGTGGGGGGAAGAGGGGGGAACACAGTCGCACACAGCTCAAAAACTCATTACAAATCTTTCCAACTCAGCAGTTTGATGAATATACTTTGGTAAAAAGAAGAGAGAAGGGAGGGAGGAGATCATGAGGAAAAAAAAAATAAACCGATGATGCCATGGACGGATGCATGCATGGTCCAACATGTTTAAATACTTCAGACATTTTTTTCCCCTCCAACAAGATCCTCAGAGCCTACAGAGTAGCTAAGCTGGGGACAAGACAATGGCTGGTATTTTGTAAACATGGAAGTTAAATTTCTATTTTTCAGATTTGGGGAACAGGAAGGATTCCTATCTAACTCCACCTCCTCCCCCACATACCCCCCAAACACATCCGAAGGGCCACACCCTCACCCCAGCAAGCCTAAGCAGGTGGGGACAACAGCCCAGGAAGAAAACTCCTTCAACATCAAATTAGCCTCGAGACATCTTTCAGAGGCTCCCCGAGAAGGGTTTTTCCAGGTGGTGGCCTTGCAGCTCCTCTGCTGAGGTAGGGTGGTGACCCCAGGAAGAAAGCTGGAGTGAGAGGATCTCCCTCCCTGCACATCACTCTGTCCCCACCGGGTCCCAGGACCCAAGAACCCACTTAACCACACAGCGAAAATTCTATCGTTTTTCGTCTCTTAATTTTTCTTTCAGGGGAAAGGTGTGGTTTACAGGTGAATTTAACTGGACTAAAACTCCCCTGCAGCAGATGCTGAGCCTGATGTGTGGCTCCTAGAGGCATAGGCCAGGCCAGAAAGGCAGCGTCCTGTCCTGGTGGGCATGTGCCTGGTTATTGACACTGTGGTTCTCTCCCCAGTGTGTGAGCAGGCAGTGACTTGAAGATCTTTTTTTGCCTTGTTGTTTTCAGGTTGTGTTTTTTTTTTAAGATCCTCCAACAACCCTGTTTGCGCTGTATTTAACCAAGGAGAAAATCATGTAGTTTAAATGATTTCTGGACGCTTGGATCCCAGTCACATTAAAAGAAGAAAAATCCCCCTTGCTTTGTGCTCAGAAGGGGAATCGACACACTCTGAAAACAAATTAGATTAGGAAAATGACAAAAATTAGAGAATGGAGAACATTTTAATTATGTGCAAGGAGAAACGGGTTATTAATTCTTAAAAAAAAAGCTCAATCATCCCCATACAAGGTAAAATAAAATAGCAATAATCTCTTCTCCTCTCAAAACATGGAAAGAAAGGGACATTCTTGTCAGGCAAGGTAAGGTACATCAGTAGTCTCAGGAGGCTGAGGCAGGAGGACTGTTGTGAGTTTCAGACCTCATCTTTAAAAAAAAAAGACAGGAGAACTAGATATGGTGAGACGCATTTGTAAGCCCAGCACTCAGAGGAAAAGGGAAACAGGTGGTCAGGAGTTCAAGATCATTCAAGTTTGAGGCCAGCCTGGGCTATAGAGAAGAGCACTGTCTGCTCTTCCAGAAGACTTGGGTTCAATTCCAAGCACCCACGTGGCAGCTCACAACTGTCTATAACTCCAGCTCCAGGGAGTCTGACACTCTTACACAGACACACATTCAGACAAAACACCAATGCATGTAAAATAAAAATAAATAAATATTTTTAAAGAATTTAAAAAGGAAATGAGGGGAGGGGAGGGGAGAGAGAGAGAGAATGAGAGAGAGAGAGAGAGAGAGAGAGAGAGAGAGAGAGAGAGAGAGAGAGAGAGAGAGAGTAGAATCTGACCCTGGGTCACAGTGAGAGCTGAAACACCAGCCCTATCCATGTGGCCTGATCCTGCTCTCCCAGTCTGAGTCACTGTCCTCCTGTCTAGGTGGGGACAACCCTTCACCTCTGAGCAGACAAGGTCTCAGACAAGAACCTTCCTGCTGGGGCCCTGTGAGAAGCCTGGGTATCTGCTGAGAGGAGAGAGGAGAGCACGTGTCTCCATGGCTTACTGCATGCTACCAGCTGTGACCACAAACAAATGCTCTGCACTCTCATGGGCTGTCTGGACACCCACAAAATGAAGAGAACAACAGTCCCAGCCTCCGAGTCGTGAATAGTAAACAAGATGACACCCATGTAAAGTGGCTGTCACATGGCCTGGGGGTACACAGCAAGTGCTCCATAAACTCAAGCTGTGACTATTCTTCCATTAGTCTCTCCCGGGTGGCCCATCACAAAGCTTCACAGATGGTGAAAACATGGGTGGATGGACGGACGGACAGACAGACAAGTGTGTGCACGGATGGACTGTCTCTCCAGACTCCCTCCTTAGCACCCAGCACAGACCTGGCGGAGGATGGGTGTCTGTAGAGTTCAGTCAAAGTCTGAGGAGCCACAGACCTCCTCCCTTGCCGGCCTCATGTCAGCTGCCCATCAAGGGCCCCGCCTGGACAAAAGGGCATCCGGGGCCTCGGGCGCGCATGCACTGCCCCCCAGGGAAGCAGGCGTCAGTAGAGACACCTCAGTGGGAAAGCTGCCTGGCAGCAGGAGGTTCAGGAGTCCCGGGATGCCAGCCCTGCAGTGCCATGCTGCACTTCATATAAGGAGGACTCACCGTAGGTCCTGCCTAGAGAAACCAAGGAAACCCAGAACCCAGAGCCTCCTTCTGAGCTTCCATTTCGTGTTTATGGGGCTGTTGCAGCGGCTGCCGGCACACCCGCGTTCAGCTCTGCAGTCCACTGAGGGAGAGGAGCTTCCCCGGAAAACGGCTTTCAGCTGGGAAATGCTCACACCTGGTCCCCAAAATGGAGTAACATGTGCGTGGTGGGTGATTGACTGGCTTGAGTCCTAGTCCCCTGTCCAGTTGGGTGACCTTGAACCAGCTCACAGGTCCTGGCTGGGGGGTGGCGAAGTCCTGCTAGGACTACTCCAGGGGTGGGGGGAGATGCAGAGAGAAGCAGGGGAAGGGAGGGCGGGAGGGAGGGAAGAAGGGAAGAAGGGAGGGAGGGAGGAATCCACCTTGATCTTCTTCCCCTGTTCCCTGTGCCCCCCCAAAAAAACACTGAAAATATAAAGAGGTCCCTGTCCCCAAGGAGTGAGTGGGTTGGGAGCAGGAGGTGGGGGTAAATGCATACATAAACAGAAAAATGTGTTTCAGACAGTAGTATCCCGAAGGAAACAGCTTAGAAACAAGATAATGCACAGTGAGGGTTCTATAAATTAGATGATCATAATAGGCACCACCAAAGGGTAGGATAGGTGAGTGACCCAGCCACACCAGGCCTGGGGAAAGAGCAGAGGCAGAGAGGGTGGCAAGTTCACAGGCCCTGAGGGACCTTCCTGTTTTTTGTCCCTCTGGCTGTCTGCCAGCAGGCCTCTGGGGTGAAGAGATCACAGGGAATGAGTTCAGGTGATGCTGGGACACCACCTAATGTCTTCCTACTTCCCTACTAGTCTCCCCTTGAAGTTAAGGAGAGGACAGGAGGAGTTTTGTGTCTCCTGCTCCATAAAGCCCCAGCAAGAAAACCAAGTTTGAAGGTTCTGGGCCTGCCTGGTCCAGCACTGGTGGACACATCCCCTCCATTTGGGGTACTATCTTAAGTCTCATCCTCTTCTAAGATGGCCTCTCTCTGGATTCACAGTGTTGACCAGGACAGGGGGTGGGGGCAGGCTGTGCTGAGATGCCCACTGTATGGGATGCTGACACCCAGATTAAAGGTCCCAGTCCAGCTCCTGTGCCCTAGCTATGTCTAGTCTGATTCCACACTCTGTCACCACAGCCACAACATACCAGACTCCAGGGGTGCTTACAACCCACTCTGCCCTCTCTTTCTGGAACACCCAGCCTCCTAGGCGTAGAAGCTGCCCTCCAGGAAAGCCAGCAACTCAGGATATGCCAGGGTGACACCAGCCCAGTTCCCTCCTCATTCCTCAACCCCAGCTCAGTCACTCAGGGCTTCCCTGACAACCAGGAATCTGCATGGAGCCTCCTGTAGCTTCTCATAACACTCTCCCCTGGGGCTGACCACATGTTTCCTGGCTCAAAGCCTTGAGGATGATATTCTACCACGCCTCCTAGGCTGTATCAGAGTCTATACCCATCGTCCCCAGATCATCCCTGATCAAAGCTCCCAATGCTGGTCCTGGCCCTGTATCTGAGATAAATGAGAAACCAAAGTATAAAATGATGGATGATGGATGCATGAAAACATGGACGGATGCACGCACATGCATCATAAATGGACATAGAGATGGGTGTATGCATAAATGCATGAATGCATAAATGGACCACGAGTGGGTGCATGGATATATACATGGATGGATGGATGGATGGATGGATGGATGGATGGATGGATGGACGGACGGACAGATGGATGGACAGACATGTGGATAGATGTGTGAATGAATGAAGGATGGATGGATAGATGGGTGGGTGGGTGGGTGGACTGATGTGTGAATAGATGGATGCATGTATGCATGGATATATGTATGGATGGCCATACATAGCCTTTGTATCTGACAGAAAATATTTAAAAGCAACTTTCGCTGCTCCAGATCTGGGCTTTTCTTGAAAATGTGCAGATTCTAAATCTCCTTCACATGACTGAGGCGCCAACACACTGTAGGTGCTTAACAAGTGTCTCATCCACTCAAGTAAGATGGCTCCAATAAAGCCCAGGG